ATAATTATAATTGTAATATTAGAGGATCACATGCTGTTATTGTTCGATATCTGTATATTCCACTATTAAGTAAAGTTCCTTGTAATATTAGAGGATCACATGCTGTTATTGTTCGATATCTGTATATTCCACTATTAAATAAAGTTCCTTGTAACATTAGAGGATCACATGCTGTTATTGTTAGATATCTTTATATTCCAGTATTAAGTACACTGCTGTACTAGAGCTGTGAAAATGTTTCAGTCAACATTTAATAACAAATAACAGAGGCTGTTATTTTAATATCACCTATAACTACAGCTGTGAAAATGTTTCAGTCAACATTTAATAACAAATAACAGAGGCTGTTATTTTAATATCACCTATAACTTTATTTGCAGATTACTTACTTTCTTTTTTACTTTAATAGCTCTTCCTGAAATATACATGAAGTGTGCCACTTGTGGCAGGCAAACAGTTGCTAATATTTCAATCAAACAAGAAGAACTTTCCCTGAGTGAGTGACTTGTTTTAATATACATGATAATTGTTCTTAGATCCTGATTACCTAGAATTTGCAGTGGACTGTTGGGCTTACCAAGGTTTAAATCAGTTGTGTCTAGAAATTAAATAATGGTGAAAAATACTGTACTTCATGACTGTATGTACAAGAGCTTTTTTGAGTAACTAAATCAAGTGAAGATGTTAATGTTGTCTGTTAACTTTTGTTAAGTCTATTTTTAAATGTTATTACATATATCTACAATATAATTGCCTAAAACTAATTTGACAACATTTGTAAAGTATTTGTTTCTACAAAAAAAAATTAAGTAATAAGAAAGTACTCACTCACAAGTTACTCCCATGTAAAGGGCAATGTTCCTCATGAAGTTTCCATTTTAAAAACAAAAAAATCATCTTCCTAACAACCTATGTACACAACAGTTTGCTTTTCAACATAAAACTTTGACTCAGCAAAGTTCAATTTCTTACCTCAACAGAAATCAGACAAATATTCCTTTATTCCAACTCCATGTTAGCCACACTTTATCAAGTATGATCTATTCTATAATGAAAGATTTAATACATTGAGACACTAGTTTAAAAATATTATTCTACAGTGACTACTGGCAAACAGTTAACCAAGCCTTATTCAGTTGTGACTAGACTCCTGTCTATAACAACAAGAAAAATATATAAAAGTTATCTTTATTAAATTACCTTATAAATAATAAATAAATATATAAACCTTTCTCTAACAGAAAATGACATGCAAGTTTGTATGCAATTTCTAAATAAATATTGATATATATATAAATAAAATCACTAAAAACTTATTTTAAATCTCTATAGGTAAGAAGAAATAATCAGAAAAGGTTTTTTTATAGGCTACTACATACAAAAATAAGTATTTACGTTAAATTGATTCCCTGCATGATAAGACAGTTTCTAGACTAAGTGCTTGACTAGAGCAGTACTTTCGTGTGTTGAGTCATATCCTGTGAGTATTTTCAGAATCAGATGAAGCTTTGTAAATCAGTGATGGCAGAAGATGTGATGTCTACAGCAATGGTTTTAAAACATCAGAGAGAAAAATCAAAAACTTAAAATCCTAGGTAGTGAGTGACCATTGCTAGCAATCAAACACAATTGGTAATAACTAAAAATCTATTTTGTTTCTTTGGGTTAATGTCACATATTCATTGTAGAAAAAAAACAAGGTAACCTTCTTTTTAGACGAGAGATAGGTTAAAAGATGCACTGCATGAAACAAATATACATAAAAATCTAACAGATCACAACAAATATAACCATGCAAAAATACTATATACACCAACTACAAAATAGAAAAAGTGGTCAAAGCTATTTTATAAGTCTAGGCTCTGTTTTGAACAGAAATGTGGTTTATAAAAAAAAATATATATATATAAAGCTGATTATTCTTCAAATAGCTAAAAAAACAAAAAAATATTTAAAATACTGTCTTTGGTGATATGAAGTTTTAAAATTTTAGTATAATAATAAAATGAAACCTAAAAACTATGAATTGCACCACTGTATACCCAACTAGAGAGCTTAAAAGAGGCACACACACACACATTCAAGAAAGAAAGAGAAGCTAAAAATAAATATAGAGTTAAGAAGAATAGAAACTATTCCACAGCTTCTCCAAGAGAATCAGTGTCTTCAGGAAAGGGTTTTTCAAACTGGTTAGGAGAAGGAGTTATACCCTGATCTACCAGGTAAACAACAGGAGTACCCAAGGCTTTTAGCAGAGGTCGCAGGTGTAGCCACCACTGGTGTTTAGGAAGCCGGTTTCTGGAACAAAGTTACAAATGTTTTTCTTATACTCAAATAGAAGGAATGTTTAAAAGGAATTTCAAGATATCTATGATTAAGAGACTGGAAGTATACTTTCAATAAAGGATTTGCAGACAGACAGACAGAATATGTGTGTGTGTGTGTGTGTGTGTGTGTGAAAAACAGCTTTCAAATTATTATCTTCCCTTTGACTTAATATTTATCTTAATTTACTTTAAACAATGTGTTTTTCCCTGGTTTAACGAGTGTTTGAATTTTAAGAAAAAGGAAAAAATCCGTTCATTTCTTCCACTTACTTGAAATCTGTATCGGCCTTAAGTGTCTGGACTGGAGTGTAGCGATACTGGCGTCGAACCAAGCCCAACAAGATGGCAGTTTCAGGACCAGTGCAAGAGGCATCTGGATGCTCCTTGAGCTGGCTGATCAGCCACTCTGCTCCCTTAGCAGCCATCTTGGTACCAAAGTTGCGATCAAAAGGTGAAGGACTACCCCCCTAAGAAAAAAGAACTTATAAAGTTTCGTCCCTCCTAATCAATTCTTATTGTACGAAAAACTTTGTTTTTACACATACACAAACTGAGTGATATCTCAGGTACATTAGTTGTTTCTTTTCAACTCAATACCTCATTCCTTCATAAATATTTGCTGCACAACTAAGATAGTTTCCATTTTTACTAATTTTATTTACTGTACATATTTTAAAATTTATAAAATTCTGATGAACATAAAAATAGTCCTAAAATTGACACGCTACACAGAGAACCTACCTGTTGCATGTGCCCTAAAACATTCATCCTTGTTGAGAATATGTCTTTACCTTCTTCACTGTACAATCGAAAGATGAAGTCTGTGGTGTAGTTCAAGTTGGCATGTTCATTTCTATATAAATACAAAAAATTAAAGAGGTTCTATAACACAGGGTTGAAAGAGAGCCTATTATACAAGACTAGATAACCTAAATTAATAAAGAATAAATGTAACCCAAGCTGCATTAAACAGTACAATATCCACATTTCTAGCCATTACCAAAGTTCACAAACTCTCCACCAATAGACAACCTGAGAATAAGCCCTCGCTGGACTCCTTCAGCCATCTTAGCTTGCATGTGAACAACATCCCCAATAAGATCCTTGATAGAGAATGGTTCTTCAAAGATATATGCAGCATCGGCACCTCCGGCAAGGCCAGCCAAAGTGGCTAGGTAACCACAGTAACCACCCATGGTTTCTACTACAAAAACCCGACGTTTTGTTCCCTGAGCTGACTGGCGTATACGGTCGCAAATCTGTGAGGAATAATCAAACAAAAATTATGAGTTAAATTTAAACCAGAAACTAATGTAAGACATCGTTAAGGTTTAGTAAAATACCTGAATAAAGTTCCTCTCACAGTTGTGTCAACAATTCATTTTTCTTCTTAAAAACTTTGTTTCAACTCGCATATACTCTGATAACAGTCTTTAGTAAATTTTATGGTCTAATATAATGACTCAGGTTTCTTTCCCAAGATTTTAAAACATAATTTTTCGTAACGTTAAAATGTTAATGTCAGGTGAATGTATCTTTGACACATGACTTGCATGTGTTCTTAATGGACTACAATGTTATGTACTTCCTAGGATACTATCTGTTGTTTTAGTACTAAACCTATTAGAAAATTAAAGTAAAAATCTATGCTACTTGCCATAATGTCTAAAGAGTGGTCACTTGGCTCATCATAAAGCTAATACTATTGCAAATGACATATGTGTTGTGAGAAGAACTAAGACCTGGAGAAACTTTGTATGACATTGACAGCTTAAAACACAATACTAATTCAAAGAAAAAAAAAGCTAAAGATGGGGAAACAAAGAAACCAATAAACTTAATATTATTGCAACAATAATGTTGGAATACCTGCCTACACCTATTATTAAATTTTATACATACTTGTTCTTTTTTTGGGCAATGCAAAATATATGTGATCAAAATGTAGGGGCTGATACATTTAATTATTATTATTATAGACCTTGATGCAATGATTATTATGTACGTAACTAATTTCAACAACTTATCAGTGGAAGCAATGAAAGTTACGGTAAAATTTATTAACCACACTATGCCACATCTAGTGGAAACTTGGCTTACCACCAGGGCTAATCATGCCTAATGCATCAATTAATATCTTCTAACTCATTACTAATAAACATATCACCACTCCTGATGCATATGTGAAACCTTTGGATTATTTGTTTGAAAACAATTATCAGTGTGTGATACAAGTTGGAACAGAGCAATAAAACACATCTAACCTCTGTGATTTCATTAAGTGCAGTGTCGGCTCCCAGAGAAAAGTCAGTTCCTGGTACATTGTTGCTAATGGTGGCTGGTATCACACACATAGGGATCCTCAACTCTGGAAACTTTTCTCTACTCTCTGCAAACTGCAACACTGAACTGTAGGCCTAAAACAAACAAGACAACAGAGGACACTTGTTTCTACTAACAACACCTTGAACTCTAGCCTTGGAAGAAATGACTGTATAAAACACTTGTCTCTACTAACTGCAACACTGAATTGTAAAGCTGTACAACAATGAAGACAATTAAAATAGTATGTGTCAACATCTATAAACTAAAACATGCTCTAAGGTCTTGCTTAGGAATTAATCAGTGTTCCTAAATTAAAATTATTTTTGGTTGAATGAACATAAATATGTATCTAATAAGTTGTCTAAGAAATTGACTAGTATAAACCCAGACTAAAATTCAATGCTTTTTTATAACTATCTACCAACAGTATTGCCTTGCAATAACAAAAAAAGTAATCGCTTAATCCACGTTAACTCAAGCAGTAATCGCTTAATCCATGTTAACTCAAACAGCAATCAATCCACGTTAACTCAAACAGCAATCGCTTAATCCACGTTAACTCAAACACCAATCGCTTAATCCACGTTAACTCAAACACCAATCACTTAATCCACGTTAACTCAAACACCAATCACTTAATCCACGTTAACTCAAACAGCAATCACTTAATCCACGTTAACTCAAACAGCAATCACTTAATCCACGTTAACTCAAACAGCAATCACTTAATCCAT